AATGTATTTATCATATTTTAATTTTAGTCATATTCAGAAGAATAATCGGAATATAGAAAGCATATTGGATTAACAGCAACAAATGCGTAGTAAAGTGGCACATACATGTATTTATCATATTTTATTTATAGTCATATTCAGAAGAATAATCGAAATATAGAAAGCATATTGATATGTGGACAAGTTAAACATATAAATCAATGAACAAATCCTCTAACAAGAACGAAATATAATTTAACATACAAGCATAATACGTTCTTTAAGCTTATAAAGTTGTTGGCCAATACAATATATAGATATGCACCCATTTAGGAAAGCCTAGGTCTTCCAAGTAATTGACTTCATATAGAGATTGATATACAATAAGATCACATATAATCAAGATTATGAAAATCGACAATAACGAACCAGTATCGTAATAACGAACATGAGATTAAAGATAAAACTTCTATTAGTATCCAATTACGATATTTAAAATTAAAAAGACTCGCGCGTAAATCACGGCAGATGCGCACTCCCAGGGTCCCCCGTTCTGTATTATTACTATTACTATTACTATTACTATTACTATTACTAGTACTAGTACTAGTACTATTACTATTACCATTACGATTACCATTACTACTACTACTACTACTACTACGACTACTACGACTACTACTACTACTACTACTACTGCTACACTACTACTATTACCACTACTACTGCTACTACCACTACTACTACTGCTACTACTACTACTACGACTACGACTACTACTACTACTCCTACTACTACTACATTACTACTATTACCACTACTACTGCTACTACCACTACTACTACTACTGCTACTACTACTACCGCTACTACTACTATTACTGCTACTACTACTACTACTACTACTACTTCTACTACTACTACTACTACTACTACTACTACTACTACTATTACTTCTTCTACTACTACCACTACTACTACTACTACTACTACTTCTACTACTACTACTACTACTACTACTACTACTATTACTTCTACTACTACCACCACTACTACTACTACTACTACTACTACTACTACTACTACTACTACTACTTCTACTACTACTATCATCGGATTTTTCGCGTTTTTTAGTGTTTTTCGTGTTTTTCGCGTTTTTCGTTTTTTTCGTGTTTTTCGCGTGTTTCGCGTTTTTCGCGTTTTTCGCGTTTTCGCGTTTTTCGCGCTTTTCGCGTTTTTCGCGTTTTCGCGTTTTTCGCCTCCACCTCTGCGCCTCCGCTTAGCTGAGACACACAAAGCGTTTCCACAGCGATTCCCAGACCCCCTGGAGGATCTAGAAAGTAGATCCCCTAATTTTGGGCCCTATCCTACTAAGGGTATTTTATAGGAGCCCCCATTAAGGGATCTACTTTTTGGATCCTCCCGGGGGTCTGGGTTATTGGTTAGTAACCCGCATCAAAACCGCTCAGAACCCCCCCGGCACGAACTCCGAAAAACATCCTTCTCCATGAGCTTTTTGGCGGTTCATAACGGTTCTCTACCTGCCTGTTCTATCTATCGGGTCATCAAAAAGGTTGTTATCGTACCGCGAGAGCTTCACAGGAACCCTTACATAGCCTCGGTGGAGTTCTCGCGAACCTTCCCTAAACTCCCGTGGATCCGAATTCCTCTGAACCCGAAACCCGAAACCCGAAACCCCAAAACCCGAAACCCCTAAACCTTAAACGATAAACCCGAAACCCTAAACCCTACAAAGAGCCTTCTAGAACACTAGAATACAAGGCCTCTACGAGGCCCGTGGAGCAGACCTCCCTGAATCCTGAACCCGTTAACACCATGAACCCCAAGCCCGCGAGCTCTTCAAAGAACCTTTCGCCGTAAAAATCACCTGAAGGGTCAAGAGCCGTAAACCCTAAAAAGCTCACTTCCAGACATGATTCCCACTAGAACTGTTTAAGGAACCCTTTTAAGAGAACCCTATGTCTACCCTTTAAGGAGCCCCTCGCATCATGCCACCTCCTAGGCCGGAAGCCTTGCGCGCTTGCCTCCGAGCTGCTTCTGGCCATTGCTGCGATCTCTTTGCTGGCGCTGGCAAGGCCTCCGGGGGCACTCCTTTCAGGGCTCCTTTAAGGGCTGCTCGAGGGGACATTCCTTGTTTGTTTACAAACAGGGCACCGTTAAGGGCTTTTTTATGGAGCATTCTTGAGGCTCCAGGGTGTACGGTTTCAGGTCTTAGGGTTTGGGGCTTTAGGGTTTAGTGTAGTGCCTGAGGTATAGCATAATTATTGTTATGTGTGCGTGTGTATACATATTGACACATAACTACACACATTTTTGTGTGTATATATATATATGCATGTACATATCTTGCTGTTCTGAATCATCGTGTGGGGCTTTTGAGATTTCGGTTATGCTGACTGAAGGATATGCTACCATGGTCTTTATAAGGTCTTGCAGGGCTTAACCGGCATTTTCTAGGGGTTCTTGGTTGTCGTAAGGTTTGTGGCAGTTTGGGTAGCAATCCTGTGTAGAAAGGCTTGTAGAAGCCTTTTTGCTTCCTTGCCAATGTGAACGCAAAGCTTGGAGGCCCCGAACGTTTTTTGGATGAAGTGAAGCGGTTTAGGGTTTAGGGTTTAGGGTTTAGGGTTTAGGGTTTAGGGTTTAGGGTTTAGGGGTTTAGGGTTTAGGGTTTAGGGGTTTAGGGTTTAGGGTTTAGGGGTTTAGGGTTTAGGGGTTTAGGGTTTAGGGTTTAGGGTTTAGGGCTTCTGCCACCCGTGTTCGTGTTCACCAAAGGACAGCGAGGCTCTGACTTGCAGGTTGTCGCTGACGGGGAGGGACAGCGTGGCTCCTGGATCCTGTGAGAGGAGCCTGGGGCCATGCAACTGGCAGTTGCATGGAAGTCGTTCGGGATGAGATAGCGAAACAGCGAAATCCTATGTCCTGTGGTTGAGAACGAAGCTGCAATCCCCACGCCTTCAACAGGTAAAAACCCTCAGTTTTGAAACCCCCAATACAAAAGCCCGACAGACCCGAAACCCTCAAAGCCCGCCCATCAAAAGCCCTGAGCTTCCCAATAGAAGCCTTATATTGGCCTACTGGAACACTAAGGCCCTAAACCCTAAACTAAAACTAAAACTCTATAGGAGCCATTATAGGAGCCCTGTAGAACCCACTTCGAACCCTAAACCCAACCAATACTTACTCTATAGAATCACGAGATTGGCGATATACTGCCCGAATGGAATCCTTTCTGGCGAGGTACTTCTCCTCGCACTTGCAGGCCGCTGCAGGGCGACTGATCTGAGCGTCGGCATGTGATACGGTTGATGATAGAAATCCTATATTACCCATAATAAGGAATATACCATAAGTCCCATGGTTTAGGGTCCTTAAGGTAATGCAGGATTTATATCATCAACCGTAGTAAAAGAGGGCGTTTAAGGACTCCATTCAAGGCTCACGATGGATAACTAGAAGTTTATTAGGGCTACTTTTAAGGGTCCGTCAAGAGTCCTTGAGTTTAGGGCTGCAGTGTTGAGGACTTGGGGGGTTAGAACTCGGGGTAGGGGTTCGGGGTTGATGTGCTCAGCCAGATTTCAGTTAGCAGATACCATTTCCATTTTCTAACCATGCCCCACCCCCTAGCACCCAAATCATAACAACCTATACCTCAACTCTAATCCAACCCAACATCCATAGGTAGAACCCTAGGAATAACTCACCTGAAGATCCAAAACCATGACAACCTATACCCAATACCCACATAATGGAACCACTAGAAGAACCATACACCACCGCGTAGAAAAACCCCAACCTCAACACCATACACCCGCACTCCCATAGAAAAACCCATATGCCCGACCCGAAATCCCTAACCCTTGAAAATGGAAATGGTACTCTCTAATAAAATATCTATAATCGGAATAAGGTTTAGGAATGAGGTAGGAATAAGAAACAGAATGATATTATTTCAATAAAATATTGCTATTATTGGTTTTTATTTAGGATTGATTAGATCGCCGTATTCTTGTTCAATGTCCTTAATACTTTTGTTCAACCACTTAACGGCATTTCCATTTTCTAACCATGCACACCTCCCTAGGCCACCTGAAGACCCAGAACCCACCAACAGACTCCACAAGGAAGACCCATACTAAGACCCAAGTAATGAAAACCACACTATGGAACCATGCGTACCCCCATAGAAAATAGCTTACTTGACCACACAGCGTGCCCGACCCGATAGAAAACAGCTCGAACCGACTAGAACGATACTTGCAGCGTAGCATGAGGTACGTGCCGAGGTTCCGTTTTCAGCTTCAACCGCACTCTCATTGGAGCACTTCTTCCTTCTCTCAATAGCCATGAAAGCTGGCTTCCTATTTGCCTCGTTCTTTTGCGCACAGAGGGTGCTATTCCATTCTTCTTTTGCGGTTCGTCCCGGCTCCTTGTGCGTTCCCACACAGGGTCAGTCAGTGGGGCGAAGCAAAATGAACAGACGGACTCGGACTTGCGCATTCCCACCACGTTCCGGAGATGTTCGAGTTTCCAACAGGCATGCAGTTAGGAACAGTGTATTCGGCCGACATGTGCAGCGAGGTCTGCCAGCAAATTTCGGACCAGCCTCGGCAGTCTCAGCGGGCCATTTGCATACTTGCGCAATGCGGGCAGATGGTGAGCTCGTCTGCTTTGGGCTCAATGGTCATGGGCAGTGTGACGTCCCATCAGGTTTGGGACCAGTTTTAGCAGTCTCAGCAGGCGGTGACCATACTTGTGCAGTGCGGTCAGATGGTCAGCTCGTCTGCTTTGGAGACAATGGTCATGGGCAGTGTGATGTCCCAGCAGATTTGGGAAAAGTTTTAGGAGTGTCAGCGGGCGGTGACCATACTTGTGCAGTGCGGTCAGATGGTCAGCTCGTCTGCTTTGGATACACTTGTGAGGGGCAGCGTGTCGTCCCAGCAGATTTAGGACCAGTTTTGGCGATCTCAGCGGGCGGTTTGCATACTTGTGCAATACGGGCAGATGGTCAGCTCGTCTGCTTTGGATACAATGCTCATGGGCAGTGTGACGTCCCAGCAGATTTGGGACCAGTTTTGGCGATCTCAGCGGGCGGTGGCCAGACTTGTGCAATGCGGACAGATGGTCAGCTCGTCTGCTTTGGAGACAATGGTTATGGGCAGTGTGATGTCCCAGCAGATTTGGGATCAGCTTCGGCGATCTCAGCGAGCCATTCGCATACTTGTGCAATACGGGCAGATGGTCAGCTCGTCTGCTTTGGATACAATGCTTATGGGCAGTGTGATGTCCCAGCAGATTTGGGACCAGTTTTAGCAGTCTCAGCGGGCTGTGACCATACTTGTGCAGTGCGGTCAGATGGTCAGCTCGTCTGCTTTGGAGGCAATGGTTATGGGCAGTGTGACGTCCCAGCAGATTTGTGACCAGTTTTATCAGACTCAGCGCGATTTTCATATTTGAGCAATGCGAGCAGATGGTCAGCTCGTCTGCTTTGGACGCAATGGTGATGGACAGGGTGACGCGCCAGCATATTTGGCACGAGTTTAGTGGGTCGTTGTCATACTTGTGCTGCACGAGGGGACAAATGGTCAGCTTTGCTTTGGAGGCAACTTTTATGAGAAGAGTCATGTGCCCAGTCGGTGATCGTGGAGAAAATGGAGTGCTTACCCTCAAGCCTTCAGTAGTTCAAATCTCAGATACTGCCTGTTATTGCCCTCAACTCTGTAATAATTTTGCCCTAACTTATTTTCAATATTTTCTATGGTATAAATATTCTGTGACCAGTTGCTTACTCTTTCTTTTTCATTTGGTTTTCGCTTCCTAAATATCTTAACCTCGTCCCCTACATCTAAATCGGGATATACGCGGTTCTTCTTTCCCTTCATGGTTAAATTTAGTTTCACTTTGAATTGGTTACTGGGTTTTCGGGCTTCCTTTGGTGTAAATCCCGTGGCCGAATGCTTCATTTGATTATTATAGGTTAATAATATTTCTAATATATAATCTGGCCATTGGATGTTTTGTTTTCCTTTTTTCTCATCTGCTTCAACTCGCTTATACAACATATCTTTAAAAGTTCTGATGGCTCTTTCGCTAAAGTTTGGGTGCGCCCTCGTTCTATGATGTTCTATGTTCTCATCCTTCAAATACTTTTGTATTGCCTCCTTGTTCAATGCTCCCTCGTCGTCTGTATAAATTATGTCGGGTTTCTTACCCATCTTGTTTAAACACTCAATCATTCCGCTCGCTACATCTCCTTCTTGTTTGCTTTTTATCGGCACTACATACATGAACTTATCAAAAACATCAATCATCAAAACACCTACCCTAAACTTTTGTTCATCCAAATCGTTTATAAAAAGCAAATCCATCTGATACTCGTATGCGGAATGAGGGGCGATAAAACTGTTTTGACCTACCGGCTTTCTTTTTTGTTCAACATTCTTTCTAAAAAACTCGTTAATATCGCCCATTGTTATAGTTTTGTCTTTCTCCCGAGCTTCGCTTAATGTCCTTTGTTTTGAACCATAACCGGCTCTATCAAAATATACATCATTAATAATTTTCTGTTTCTCACTCATATAAATAAGTAACAAAAAATAATGATTTAATATAACTAATTAAATCATCATTTTAAAGAATTCGGCATCATCACTTTGTATTCGTTCATATCGTATTTGGGTGCTCCGCGCTTCTTTGTGCTGGGTTTCTTATCTGTAATGATTTCATTAATCTGACTTGGTGTTAAGTCTTCCTCGCTTAAATTGTTTTCTTCTATGTATTCCTTAAGCTTCTTTTTTTGGTTGTGCCTTAAGCTTGCTTCGCGCTTCTTCATCATAAATTGCTCGTCTTCTTTCCTCTTGTTATAATACAGCCTTTGATACAAAGCCAGTTGTTGCTTAATCTCGTCCATTGTCATATCCTCGGGACTTTTGAAATGTGTCATATTACTATACTATACATTTATACTATTTCTTTAAACAAGTTTCTAAACATAACACGAAAATCTTTAGAAAAAACATTTAAAAAGAAATTTAGTTTATATTGTAATTATATTGTATATGAGCAAAAATATTAAGCGTAACACGAGAGCACTACAAACAACCTACGACAACTACAAGAATCGTTTAACACAAGGCACCAGAGAAAAAACACAAAATCTAATTAACTTTTATGAAGACCGTAAAATAGCGCAATTCACCACCGCGGACAATTTAATCAGACAGTTTATAACAGCAAAAACCGACAAACAAAAAACGAAAGCAAACAACGCATACGACAAAATCCACGACAAACACCACGACAAAGAACCACTCGGGCAACGAATGCGGGAAGCAAAGAAGGAAAACAAAAGCCGAAATAGCACCAGCATCTACTCTATAGATGTAATGTTTTATAAGTTAAAGTTAGAAAAAGACAACGCTATTAAAACCGCTTTCAAAGACCACAAAGGCCGACCATTAATTTGTTTTTGGAAAGAACCTAAAAGCGCAAATGTAACATCCACCAGATACATAGAGGACTTGGTGGGGAAACGAATTTTTAGATACGAGAAAGAAACGAAAAACATCTTTAAAAAGTTAATGGATACCTTCAACACAGACCCAGTTTTAGAAGACGATTTGTTTCACACAGAGCAGTATATGGAATGTATCCAAATTAAGAGCATCGAGCGGGTAGATGGTGATACAGACTTTAAGCCAGAACAGGAGAAACTCACAAACACCGCTAATTTAAGTATGTATAACATCTACATTCAAACACCTTTAGACCCCGAGTTTGAAACCTTTAAGGAAGCAATAAATGTAAAGCATTACAAAGAAAACGAGTGCTGGTTTAACACCATAACCGATTGGTATAAGGATACACTAATGGGCGAGAAGCGAAGGGAAAAGAACAGATTAACAAAGCAAAGTATGTTAAAACTGATGAATAAGACCGAAGAGGATTTCAAAACAAACGGGGCATCAATACAAGATATGGTGCCGGTGTTTGAACATTACGGCATTCAAGTAAGGATATTTAACTCTTTCATAAAGCCGATTTTCAAATACTCACCAACGAAATACAACCACCATATCCCAACATTATGCGCCCTAGTTAAGAATAATCATATCTACACAGCAAACGACAACCTACAAATGTTACGACAAATGGTAGCAATCCGCGAGAATCAAGATGTATCGGTTAAGGCTTCCCCAGATTACCACATAAACGATAATGACGAACCCACTGAATGTAAAATGATACAGTCCTTAAATGACCTTAAGAAATTCAGAGAAAAAGATGAATATACCTTAATTTATGATGGTAACGATTTAACCCATTTGTTTTATGAAAGCAAGATGGCAGGGTATGAGCCACAAGTGAGATTTACTGGTTGTATCGTATCCGATTTGTATTTCAAATTCTACATTAAAAAGAAGAGCATAAGATACAGGATTAAAACACAAAATCTAGTGACGAGCTCAGTGGATGGAACTATAACCGTAAGGACGGAACAGATTTATAACAATATGTCTAAAGCAATGTATGAATTCAATAAGGCACTATTTAATCCCTTACATAAATCCTATTACAACGAAACCGATATACAAATTCTTAAGGAGTGCCGAACAATCCCGCCTGTGGGAGAATTAAATAAATTCTACAAGGTGTTTAACCAAAGAACCGAGAAATACGACAAATACGGATTTATGCCTGAAACAACCACCGAAATAGATGTAAGAAAAGCTTACACCCACGCCTTCAACCAAATTACCGAAATACCCGTCTTTAACCAGTTTGATATATGGAAGCATTTCAATTACAAAGCCCACGATTACAGCAAGTTTCACGAACTGACTTTGTTTTTAGTTAAACCTAAAGAACAAGCGTTATTTTTTAATAAGACACACTGTTTAGTATATGGTAAGTTTCTAAAGCACTACGCAGACAAATGCGAAATCCTACATTATAAAGAGCCTTCCAGAGTGTATAAGGTGAATTACACAAAACTTATTAAACAGTTATGGGCAACCGAGATATCAGACCACTTCCCAGAAGATGCTAAAATCAAGAAGCTTATAGCAAATGTAAATTTCGGATTGCTAGAGAAGGGAACGAACAAAAAATCTAAAAGCTTTGCCTTTGACAGCCTTCGGGAAGCATTGTATTATCAGCAGGAAGTAGGAGGCAAGATTAATAAAATCACCGGATACGACGAAGACGACAAGGAATTGGACAGAAAATATTACTGCTTAACAGTGACCGATAGAGTGGCGTTAAGAAACGGATATACTTACATAAAGGAGTTACTGCTACAAATCCATAACCATAAAATTCAAGAGGACTATACCAAATTAATAAATAATGGTGTTGATGTATGGAGCATTAAAACAGATGCCTTTGTAATTAGGCACGAGCACTTAAGCAAGGCAAAGAAAGCAATAGCATTTAACAATAATATCGGAGGATGGAGACACGAAAAAGGTAAGTCAATAATCCCACCGACAGAGCAACACAAAATGAAAGAAAACATATTAACAAAAATACCAGAATATACCAACGAAACACTAGAAATTAAAGACGAGTGGGACACCGAAAGCATAGCAAAACAAATAACTCAAAAGAGCCCACTTATTATAAGAAGTAAATACGCGGGTGGTGGTAAATCGCATATAGCGAAGCATTTCAGCAAGTTAGGTCATAAAACATTGTTTGTAGTGCCCCAGAACAGCTTATCGCAAAATATAGACGATGAAGCAATCACTACAAATAAGTTCTTTGCTATTCCAGTTGGCGATGGGGAGAAACTGCCAGAGTTTGACCATAGTAAATTTAATTGTATAGTGTTTGATGAGATTTATATGAATAGTTTATATATACTAAATAGAATACGAGAGTTCGTTAAACAACACCCCGATAAAATTATTATAGGAGCGGGAGACGTTAAACAACTGCCACCGATTGAAGACCTAACCAATACCAGAAAGCCCGATGAATACGCCGACGACTGTATCAACCAAATATTTAAATACACTATGATGCTTAAGATTTGTAAGAGGTTAGGGGCAAAGGATGACCCGAAAGCAAATGAGAACCGCAACACCTTAAACCGTATGTATGACGACATGTGGATAAACCGCATTCCTATAACTGAATTCGTAAGGAAATATTTTAAAACGACTGCCAACCTAATGGCGTCCGAGAAGAACATAGCATACACCAATATACGATGTAAATATGTATCCAACTACATAAGAAGCAACCTAGGTAAAACCGATAAATACGAAGTAGGGGAAACGCTTATATGTAGGAAATATAAGAAGGTTGGA